GCATTAAAATACGATTTTAAAGATAAGTTAACAGATATTTAAGTCTTGGATAAGTTAACAGCATAAGTTAACAGATATTTTAAGTCTCTGGTAACAGCATAAGTTAACAGATATTTTAAGATAAGTTAACAGAAATACGAAAATTTCTAAGGTTTTTTTGGTCTCTTTTTCTCTCTACTTTTGGGTTAGGGAGAGAGGGTATTTATAAGGGAGAGAGGGTATTTATAAGATTCAATTGGTGATTTTTTCTAAATTTTTTGGAGTTTTTTCGGAATTTTTTGGATTTATCTTGAAGTTTTAGCCTTATCTAATTAAAAAAAACGCGTTTACTGCGTCCTCAGATGTGTTAACTTTGGGTCTCACAGGGACTAAATTGTTATTTGTTATATCTTTTTATCTGTAGGTCTGATTCAAGCAATTCTTGGACTGTTGGAAAGCTCTTGGGCCCTACTTCAAATTGGGATAGGATTTGGGTAGTTTTGGGGTAATTAAATTGGGTCTACTAGGATAATGTGGTCTTAAGGGTTCAGAAAACCATAGAATCTATAGTTACGAGTTTATTTCTTTAAAACGATTTTCATATTTATATATTTCTTTAAAAAGGTTTTCATAGTTAGGATTATCTCAAAATTTATTTTCATATCTCATCATAAAATTTTAAACTCCAAAAATGGTAAAAATCAAGTAGATCTATAAACATATGAATATCTTGAAAATGGGCGGTCTAGATAATGTATTATAAGATGCACTATTTTTGGGACTCAAAATCTCTTTTTTTTTCATATTCATACATCTCGATGTCGAGATTATCAATTAGAGATTTTTTCAATATTAAATCAACCTTATCTGATGGATTTATGAGGTGCTTCTGGAATTCTACATTTTAAGGTTGCAACCTTTTATAAACTTTTTTTTTTATATATATATATATATTTATATAGGGATTATATACTATGAAGCCATTTATATTTCTTACAAGGAGGTCACAATTGCTACTAGCTGTTAGATGTCGAATTGGATGGTTTGGAGTGTGTCACAAAGTTCAAGAATTTGTTTTTTTTTTTTGAACTTTGGGTCTCGTCAATGACACACTCACAACCATCCGATTTGAAATATGACGAACATGTTTGATTGTGACCTCCTTGTATTATATATAAATAGTCTTTTTGTATACTTTTTCATATATATATATAATGTCAAAAATGCTGCTTTTTACAAAAATTTACAAAAATATCACTATGATCCAGTTGAAAGAGAAATAGGGTGTTTCATTATTGCTGGAACAACATGATCCCTATGAGCAGTGCCTATGCTTCAGCCACTGTTGCTATTGTGTTGCCTATTGGCCCTAAGGACAGTAGAATTGAGGTTATGTTGTCCCTAAAAACACCGCCAATACCTGCCTCCCGTATTATTTAAGCTATAGCACAGATTTTGTGAAGGTGTCAATAGGATGCTCGTATCCATACATGTAGCGTGCATGTTATGTATTTTCTTGTACGTATGCATGTACCTATGTGTATGTGTATGAACAGAGTTTGTTTACTCTGTTGGTCAATGTGGGAACCACATGGTTGATTGGAAATGGTCCTTGGCTGGGTCAATTTAGGGGTGAAAAGCAGACCAGCTTTGTTCATGTATTTTTTTAAGGAAAACATTTATATAAGGGTGAGGCCCTAAACAATCAAATTAAGGCACACCGCAAAAATTTACTAGAAGAGATTCTTTCAATGCTAAAAAACCTTCAATTTGATCATCCCAACCTCAAGATGTTTGGACATGATAAAAAAAAAATTCAAGTATTGAAAAGAGTGCATCTTGTAATGTATTATCTAGACTGTCAATTTTCAAGATTTTCAAGTATTCATAGATCTTGTCTACTTACATTACTAATGTTTTGATACTGTCAACATTGTATTAGTGAAAAGGAAGTTACAAAATGACCCTGAGGGGCTAACAGAAAAATGTCACCGAGGGGGGTGACAAACAAACAGAAAGCAAAAAAGGGGCCACCTTGGAAACTAGAAAATAAAAGAAAACACCCAATAAAACAGTTGCATAGCAGCCCGTGCTGAGGACCATCTACACTATTTTTGAATCCGTAAATTTTATAATTAGAGATGAAAATAACTGTTCAGGCCATTACAAAGATTTATGATACTAAAACAACATCTTTTGGCACTATTTGAAGGTGGGCCTTAATTTGATTTGTTAGGGCCGCAGCCTTATACAAACCACAACCTTTTTTTAATGATGGGTTTGATATATAATTCCAAGTTTTGATGAGGACATGGGTTTCAGTCATAATGTGGTTGGCACTCCACCTAAAGCTGTCTATCCGTAGGTTGAATGGAAACACGTATTTTTAGTTTCATGAAACTCACAAAATGGCAGCATTTTAATGGGAAAAACACAACTTAACGGAAAGATAAAGTGGCACACACGGGTGCCACTTCTAACATGAATGGCTTGTCACCTAAAACAGTGCTGAACTATGGCTTATTGACGTGTCCAGGTGAGGCCTAACCTTCTTTAGGAATTCGAAAACTACCCACCTCCTCTACCTGGTGACTTGGTACCGGGTTGACCCACTGGGTCACCAATTTGACCTGGATGTATTGACTAACCGACTCTGAGTTTGGTTTCAGTTTTGCAAACTATGTTTATGTATTTATGTATGTATATTTTGTGATGTCCTAGTTAATCCATGTTTTTTTTGGTTGTGGCATGTTCTAGTGTTAGACGTTGGACACAAGTTTCTTTTGTCAAATGCAAAGATGTTGTTGGCTCCTACCAATATTTTTAGGAGCATGTTTTTCTGATCAAGAGATAAGATCTTGCTTAATTTGTTCACTACCTATCTTGTTGAACAGTAGTGTGTGTGTGTGTGTGGTGTGTGTGCGTTCAAGTGTGTGTGTGTGTGTGTGGTGTGTGTGCGTGCGTTCAAGTGTGTGTGTGTGTGTGGTGTGTGTGCGTGCGTTCAAGTGTGTGTGTGTGTGTGGTGTGTGTGCGTGCGTTCAAGTGTGTGTGTGTGTTGAGAGGGAAGGGGAAACCAGGTCGAGTGTGAACCATGAGTGAGACCTTCTAGATGGAAGGAATAGGGGTGCCAATGAGTTGAGAGACCCAGCCAGTCTGGCCCATTTGGGCCACAGGCCGGGGTCGTGTCTAAAAAGTTCAGGTTCTTATTTGGCTGGGCTGAGGCCTGGCCCTTAAGCCCAACATTTGATCTATTGTCTGGGTCCATTAATATATTTGTTTTCGCTGCACTAGGTCCTGTGTTCGAATTCTACTGCTATACTCTTTATGTCCACTGAGCCTATGACTGTTTTATGTTGAAAATTATAGCTTTTTTAAACAAAACTTAATGTCGGTCCCGAATGGTTAAAGGCTTTTAGTTTTGCTTAGTAGGCCATGAGTTCGAACTGCTCAATCCTATGCCAATAAATATGAAGTTTTCTCAAAAGGGAAAACTTTTAACCGGCTTGGCTGGGCCAGGCAGCATGGGAACAGCCCAGGCTCGGCTCGGGCCCTTCAGCCAACTGTCTCAGGCCTAGCCCCTAGGCTGCAGGGTGGGCTCGGGCCAAATCTGGCCCAGCTTGTTTTCACCCCTCAGAAGGAGGTGGGGCATTTGAGTTATTAGTTTGCGGTCAACTGTTAATTTAGATAATGACACTTTAGATATTGCTGCGCTTATAACATCCATGTTCCTGTTATCCCTTCTTTCTTCAGGCATTTTGGGTTTGTTCAGAGAAAAGGTTACTTGGAACTACAAAATCTGAGTGCTCAGTAACGAGTGAATGGTCTCCTGATGGGCGCTATTTTATGACAGCCACAACAGCTCCCAGATTACAGATTGACAACGGGTATATTTCTTAAAATAATGCTAAGAGATTTTTGTTCAAGATTGCTATTGCTTAATCTGTTACTTTCCCCGACAGGATTAAAATATTTCATCTTGATGGGTCACTGTATTTCAAGAAAATGTTTGAGAAACTCTACCAGGTTATTCCTTTGTATCAATCCTCCCAATCCTTTCCTGTTGCTGGAGCTTGCCCTTCCATAAACATCTTTGCTTTCATTTTCTGCAGGCTGATTGGAAGCCAGAAGCTGTGGAACGATTTGGAGATATTGATGAACTAGTTAAGTTTGTAAAAACCAATTTAAAGATTGATGATATTAGTAAAGGTATTCATCAGAACTTAAAAAGTTTTTTTTAAGAAGTGGTTATGGTAATTTGTTGCGGTAGTTTCTATATATATGTATAATATATACATATTTATCTAAATGCCTAATTAGTTTTGGTTAACAAGGGCTATTGTTGTAGGCCCAAAACCTCTCTCTCAATCCAATACAAAGGTCAGTACTCCTGCTCCGAAACCTACTGCTTATCGTCCGCCACATGCCAAGAATGCAGCTGCGGTTCAAGCAGAGGTAAACCTATGAGTTTAGACTGGGGAAAAGTATCGAATGTGTCATCTCTCACTTTCTGTGTTTTGATATATGAATATATGAAAGCTACTCTTATCTTGGTTAGTATTTCTGATGAATTTTGTATTCCTTATCTTGATGGCTTGTGAAAATGTCAGCTCTTTGGTGGAGGTGGTGGCCCTTCAGAGTGAGTAAATCTAATTTGGCTGTCTCGGTCTGTTTAGATCCTGAAATTTTTGTTTTCAGCAATTGCAAATGGACTAATATTTCATTGTGTTGTGGCTCTGGATGGTTCAGAGAGATGAGTAAGAATGCATTGAGAAATAAGAAGCGAAGAGAGAAGCAAAGAGAGAAAAAGGCTGCTGCAGACAATGGTAATTAATATAGATATGTTGAAAATGATGCATTCTCTTTTGCACACTTCTTTCTAAAGAAGTACTATTTTCATCGTCTTTGATCCTGTTGGTAAGCGTGGGTTGCAAAACAAGGGCTTCTCCCGAGGTCAGGTACACCTAGCATGCCTTGCATGAGAAGTTTGGAGTTTATATTGGATTCAGTTCACAAGTTTCTTTTGAATTGAGTCCCTTGCATGAGAAGTGTGAAAGTACTCAAAGATGAGTAAAGTTTTATAATGCTCAAAAGTGAATACTCGGGTGTCTTTTGCTGATGTCCTTTCAACATGTAAGTTATCATGCGGTGGTTGCTATACCAAACTGTTAAGATTCTTGTATGAGAAAGCAATTCACAAAAAGGGTATGGAACATTCTTTATATCTGAGTGAAAATTGATTGTGGATGCATCAAACAAGGTTGGATGGTAATGAAAGTTTGATGGCAGTTTGAAGTCTAAGGTTGTGTTCTATAATATTTCTCCTTTGAGGGATATAATCAGCCGGATCTATCATGACAAAATCGATTAGTTCCTGATAAAACTGGCCTGTAACAGCAACAAGCGGGGTGGGGCTTGGGCTGGCCATGCTTGGCCCTAGCCCAGTCCTGTTCTCCCGAGGGTCAGCCTTGGCCTGGTCTAGCCCCTAGTTTCTTAGGGCCGTGCCGGGCCACCTAGCCCATTGCCACCCTTAGGCCAGTTCATGGGGAAACTAGTTAGTTATCGATATATGGCACGACTAGGACTGGTTCCGCCGATTCTTATTCGTATGCACAGTGTGCTCATGCTAAAGGCAACTATAACGTCCCTTGGGGAAAAGACTTAAGGACAAGTACTTCGTAAAAGGGATGTACTTTGAGCCCCTAGAAACTTAAATAGCTGTCGACTACTAGACATTTTCTTCGAACACGTGTGCTTGTTCATTTTCTTTCATTTTTTGTTGGATTATTTGCAAGATTTAAGAGGTTACCTCAAATTTTGGCTCCTAAAAATGCCCCTCAAAAGGATTTTACCCTAGAGAAAAACATAGAATATACTCTCTTGAGAGCATATAATCGTTTGACAAGAACAAAAAGAAGGTTGAGGTTAATTAGTTATGCCCTTCTATATGGATCCAAGCTGCTAATACCAAAGATGGCACTCCATTTCCATTTGGGTACATTGTCAAATTTGGTTTGTTTATTATCGACTGGTGTAGGTTGCCTCAACTTAGGCATTACTTAGAAGGATTAAACAATCAAAGTAAGTCGCGCTTGTAAATTATGCTGAAAGATTATCAACAATACCTGCAATGGTCCAAATATATATTTAACCACTAATTATAAAATTCAAAGTTCCAAAACAGGCTCAAGTTGAGCAGATCCATAAACAGTTGAAAATCTTGAAAGTAGATAATCTATATATTCATATATCTCGAGGTCAAAATGATCGCTTGGAAGGAACAACATTGTTTTGTGGTTCTAAGGTCTATCTTACTTTTGTGGTCAACACCTTAAATAAAAGTTTTCCTGAAGACGGTAAATCCTCCAATTACGGTTGTTCATTTCGCTCTCTATCCACGATGGTTTTGAGTGCAAAGATGTACTTTCATTTCCTCGGATCCTTGTTAGGAGTACTTTTAGGACCTCAACTTTATGGAACACACCTTAGGAAAATTATCTACGAGTCTCACAAGAAAAAATGCTCTAGGATTAAAAAAAATGACCACCCAATTTTGGGATGATGCGATCAAAGCGTCCAAGATTTTTTTCTTTTTTTTTTGTTTCTCACCATTTTTATATACTTGTATAAATATTCTAAAGTCATGGCTTGTCCCAATCTAGTGCAGTCATACTAGTTGGAAGCCCATATAAAGAAGGACAGTTGTATAAGGTGGAGCAGCTAACGTAAAACTTTGCCACATCTTTTGATAATTGAAATAAAATTAGGATGATCTAAGGATTCCAAAGTGGATCCCTTTTCAATAAAAAATATTCTGACTCATGCCACAAGTATAAGTGTACAATGTGCTCATGGAACAATACATATGGGTGATCCTTTTAAATAGTTGTTATAATATGCTTTCAATATAAGTGTACAATGTGCTCGTGGAGCAATACATATGGGTTATCCTTTTAAATAGTTATTATTATATACTTTCAATATAAGTGTACAATGTGCTCATGGAGCAATACATATGGGTGATCCTTTTAAATAGTTACCATTATATGCTTTCAAGCCGTGATTGTATTAAATTGTTATTAATAATACATTATCTTTGGTTTTAGGAGGGAAACGTGAAAGGCCAATGTTAAGGAAACTGAACAAAAAGACATTCGTGAAGCTTTATATTAACAAATAAAAAAAGAAGGACCACAAGAATATTATATAAGCGAAAATATTTTTGAAAATAACTATTTGTTATTACTTATTACCAATAATATTCTTCAAAATTTAAAAAATTCAAAACTCACAAATTTTTTTTCTTCAAATTTACACCCATATCCATCTTGTCAACTGAAGGTCATGTTTTTTCACTCAAATGAAGTTTTTTTTCCAAAAAATGAAGTTGGGGTTTCCCCAAATTATTCAATAAAGACCTACACTCGATGGAAAGTTAATCATTTTCGCCTTAAAATTACTGCGTTGTTGGCGGTAACCTACATCTCTATGAAAGTGGAGGTGTCTTGTAAGCCAAGAAGCAGACCTTCATGGTTAATTTTTAAACAAAAAAAAGAAAGAAAGAAAAAGAAACAGCACAACTTGACAGACCTAATTAGTTTGTTATGAACCTATTAACGTAGTGAATATTATTTTGAAGATTAAAGAAAAGTGAAAAATGAGAATCGGCATAAATTTTTTTTTTTTTTTGGGCAAGTGTCATAAATTTGTTAAAAAAAGTAAATTTTGATTTTTAAAATTTAAGAGATATATAATTTTCCTATAGATTAAAAAAATAACTATTTTGTTTGATCATTTTGGTTTTATTAATATTTTCCAAAAAAAACATCTGTCGAAACGATATCAGTGCATGGTGCAATAACTTGAGCTCACTTACGCGCGCGTACAGCTTCCGCTACAGGGGCGGCCGCCCCCAAACATTACTTCAAATTTGGAGGGTTTAGGGAGAGAGAGAGAGATGGCGGATTAACACGTGTGGGGCAGGTGGTACGCACCTTAATTTGCATTTGCATTTGCATTTGCATTACACATAAATATAATCGAAGCACCGCGCAGTAAACGTCATCGCCACTTTTGGTTTTTGGGTCCATTTTACCGGCCATGATTTTTTTGTTTGGAGGCACTGCGTTTTGCATTTAGAGACGTAGGAGGGATTCCCTTCGATTTTAGAGAGAGAGAGAGAGAGAGAGAGAGAGAGAGAGAGAGTAGTACAGTAGAGGAGAGAGAGAGAGTGTGTATAGCGCGTAGTATAGTGCATACGTAAGGTGCTAGTGGTTCGGTCGGGTACCTACTTCGTCGGTTACTTTACG